TGCAGTTCACAATTTTCCTTCCACATCATTGTTTAATATCACCTATTAAAGCTTCAGGGCAAAAATGATGGTTTTATACTCTATTTAGTTGGTGTGGAATGGAAAGTAGGCAAGACCCAAGCCAAGTGTTTAGACAGTGCCAATGCAGTGAGGCAATTCTGGTGATTACAAGCAGTAAGCACTGGATGCAGCACTATCTGATATCAGAGACTGCACTCAGGATTAGATTTATTTAGTACTGAAGATGCAGTCTTAATAGTTAAATCTCCTTACCTACACTATCTTATCTTTATCTGATAAAAAAGCCCAGCAGGTTTGAGAAGTATGACTTCCTTTTACAAATACAAATGTTACTTCTTTCCCGTGTCCATTATTTCTGGTCTACTATAGTGCCTCTGATTTGTCCAGTACAGATGTCAGACTTACTGCACTACCGTTCTCTTGATTTCCTTCTAAGCCCTTTTAATATCATAGAATTCCATTAGTCACCTGAATTTCCAGGGGGTTTCCATGCCAACTTTGGAAATTTAACTTCATCGTGTTCGTCTAAATCTTTGGACATTTGCATCTGCGAAATAAGAAATAAAGTTTTTGCAGTGAAAGTGCTAATCTGCAGACAAGAGCATAAAATTGACTTCATCATCAGAAGCTAAATCCATAATTGGCAGTGGAATAGCTGCAAATAAAACATTTTGAAAGGGAGAAGGAGAACGTGTTTGGAATCATGGTCGTATATTGTGCACTATTGGAGCATGGGCATGGGAGGGTGCCGCTTAGGAAGAATAGGCAGGGAAGGAGGGGGATTTATGCTTTATGTTAAGGTACTCTTTGATTATGTAGTGCTGATGTTTGAAATTGTAGATGAGAACTGAGATGAGATGAAAATGAGAAAAATTTTGATGGAATCTGTTATAGACCCCTGTTTAAGACAAAGCTGGGAAAGACATTTACAAACTAGCAGAAATCACTTCCTTAGAGAGGATTTCAGCCATGAGGTCATCTGCTGAGAGAGCAACAGTACTGGGCAAACAATGCTGGGTTTCTCAAATGACGCTAATGACAATATCCTAATATAAACGATGGAGGGGCAATGCTGAGTTCTGGAAGGAGGAATAAACTACTGTCAAATATGCAGGTCTATCTGAAAGTAATGTCTCCTATCTATTTCCATGGAAACAACAACAGATAAAAAGAGCACAGGAGCGCTATTTGAAAGAGCAAATTCTCAGCCACAAAACACCATTTCTTAGCAGAGTCACCACCATCAGCTACGCATTCTTGGCAGCAATAAACAGGAGCCTGTATGCCACACTCATAGAAGTCTGCACCAGTGGAAGTGACCTACTATTTCACAGCAGCTATCACAGTATTATTGCTGAAATGCATCACCCACCACCTCACTGTGTTCACATCCTCTGTTTTGTCTCCATAAATGTTCAGCAAGCACTGATAAATATGGGTGGATGCCTTTTATTTGCATGGAGAAGTTCAATGACACACCTTTGGTTCACATGCACTTTCATGTCAGAATGCCCCTTTGTTGACATCTGTTATATGGCAAGAAAATAGAATGTTGTTATGAAGGTCCACCCTCTACTGCCATCCCAAGAACATCTGCTTCTGATGTGGTCCAACAGAATGAAGAAGGAGGCCCTGCTTTTGGAGTAACCCTCATATAATCCCAGATGGTAATTCAGGCTGCATTAAACACACGATGACTGTGTGAAGGAAAGTCAGGGAGGTAAGCAGCAGAATTTAGCACTGCAGACTTCATAAGACCAGAATTCATCTTATTCAGGGATCTGTTGATTCAGGGAATACTCTTGAAAGCAACTATGCAAAAGACGACTGCTCAGGAGAGACAGTTAGTGTTTAGAAAAAAAAAATACTGAGACCTCAGGAACAAATCACCTTGTTTTTCAGGAAGACTTGGAATTTCATCTTAGCTTCCTGGTGACCTAAACCACAAAATTATAGAAGATGTGGGAACAAGGACTGGCAACAAAATAATAGTATAAAAACACTTAGGGAGATTAAGCATAACAGTTCTGTGGTTATGATGCAAAACAACGCTCAGGAAAAATATGTCACCCAATGAATTTAGGAGACCACCTGGTGCAAGATGATACAGAAAATACTTAAATATGCAGCAACTTTTCTTCATCAGTCTTCAGTCAAAACTTCCACTCAGACATCTGCATCTTCCAGCAGTGTTTTTTTCCCATATTTTTTTCTGATAATTAGCATACCTTTGCTCTGAACATTCACTGTAATATCATGAAGTGGCTGTCAATATACTAAAACTGAACTGCCACCTTTCTATATGTTTCATTAACAGAATCACATTGCAGTTTTGGCTATTTTAACTCTTCCGAGGATGCTGCCTATAGTCATACTACAATTATTATCACATAGCAATTTTTAAGCATCATTTTGATCTATGTCCACAGATGCATTTGAATGAAGTAGCTCAAGACTGCTTTTCCTTCAGACTAATCCCTAGCTAGTGTTTTCATGAAGCACTCACTGACAGTGTTCACAAATACAGTTTTGCCACTACAACATAAAGTTAACATTTGCCCATTCTATATGGAGTAGTTCTAGTCCCTATTGCTGTTGCATTCCTTGCTGTATCAGTGTGGTTTTCCTCTCCTAACTGCAAGTAGTGATCATGTCCTGAGAGGATGGTTGATGAGAAGTGAGAAGAGACTTGGTGAAGGACTTGAAGCTGGAAACTTGAGGTAACCTACTCCTGAATTCCCTGAACAATGTAAGTATGGAGAAATGCTGAGATAGGTTTTCAATGCTCAACATGATGTGTGTCTTCACAATTTCCAAATCTTTTGAGTACAGTCTATTTGATTTGAATCTGCTGTACAACTGAAAAGAAGGAGAGGCAAATGCTGTTGGCAGTATATGTTCCTAATCATAGAATCCTAGAATTGCTCAGGTTGGAAAAGATCATCGAGTCCAGTCATGACCTAACCATACTACCCTAACAAACCTCTGCTAAATCATGCCCCTGAACACCACATCCAAATAATATCTGAAAGCCTCATTTTTTCCGAGAATCCACGAATGACTGGATGGAGATCTCCTTTTCTTATACTGTCAGTGTTATACAAGACAGTCTCCGTAGCTCTTGTATAGATAGTACTGTGGTGTTAAACTTTTTCTTGGATTGTGAACGTGTAAATATACACATTTCGATGGGATGGTAGTGGTGGATAGAGTGCATTTGTTAGAATGCACAGTATCTACAAAGGTACGCTGAGGTAATATGTGTGATTGTGTCTACAAACATGACTTGGTGAGGGATACTGTCTTGGGGAGTTGTAGGTAAGGAAGGGATTTGGGGCGTCTATGACTCTGGTTTGACAAGAGGGGATTATTTATGTAGATGACACATACATCAAATGCATGTGAAATGTATAAGAGAGTGAACAGAGAGAAAGCAGAAGTTCTAAGGGAGTCCTTTTTTAATGACATATGCACAAAAGCATATATTATCTATGCATACATAAATATATATTTTAATTTGATATCTCAAAGTCAGCTCAGGAATCTGTTTAGAGTTCCATTCCAAACTGGAGTCTCCTGTTACTTGGAAGAGCCTCCTGAATTTCAACTCAATGTATTTCAAACCATCTCAGCTATTGTGACTGTCCTATATAGAAACTGCAGCTGTAATACATTTTGACTTCCTGATTTTTAGAACATACAAATGCAAAGCAGTCCTTAGAAACAATTTGCTGTTTTTTGACCTACCTTTCCTGTTGCTTTCAGTGTGTCTGTTCCTAAAGCATTATAGACATGCTATCATTCCCATTGTATGACTGAAAAACTGTGGTATAAACAAACCAAGCAAGCTGCCGTGGGTCAAACAGCAAACCACTGAGAAAGCCAGCAATAGAAACCATAAGTTCCAGCATCCAAGTTCTCTAAGTGCCTTGAGTAGTCTAGATTTTCTCCTTAACACTCTTGATAAATTATTTATAGATATATTCACATAGTCAGTAAGATATAAAACCATTCTAATTATATCATTCAAATCAAATGACAATTATGTCTGTAGTTTGCCAGACAATGCTTTGCCAAAGAAATTTTGCCAGAAATGTTTTGACCGAAGAAAGGGGGAGCATCTACAGCTTCTGCAGACGAGACACTATAAAATCTCCCAGGGACAAGTCTGGCCTGTCTCCACAGAAGGCTTCAAGGTAAGAGCATGCATTTTGTGAGCTTGAAAAAAGAGGTCCTTGCAATATTCCAGTCAATTTATCCTGCCCCTGCCAACCATTTCCATTATGGACTGTCCATGTGAACAAAACTGTTTATATGATTTCAGTGTTTGTCTGTAACTGCAATCTAGAAATTTTCTCTCAAATTCTTTGCTCATCAAGAAACAACTACCATTCCTTTTTAACAGGACTGACCGTTTTCCCCGATAGAAGTCATTCTTAAAGGGTAATATATTAAATAATGCAGTCCTACAGTACAGACTATTTACAGGATTATTTACAGCTGCATGATTTCTCATTGTAACCGCCCAGTATTGCTACAGACTCTTGCTTAGGCTAGACTGTTGAAAACAGGAAAGATCTAAAAAGTGAAGTAACTTAATTTATAGTCCACACGGTAATACTTTTAAAAAGGAAGTACTGTCTTAATGAATCATCATTCATAATTAAGGGCCAGACAAAGAATGGTTTTCTCTGGCTGTAGGTTCTTTTATGTGAACATCTCAAAAATGATCAGAATTCATCAAAGTGAGATGCTTAATTGTAGTCAGTATTGAGGTGATATTCTATTATTTATTGTTGAGGTTTTTTAGAAGTCCAAGTCTCTCTCTTGAGTAGCACTTAGAACTTTTAAGTTCAAGTCAGAGTGAATATAAATGGTTGTTGCTAAGAAGTTTTCTGGAAGATTAGAAATTTATTAGCGTTAGTAAGGAATTTATCAGTGATCCACAACATTTTTTCCCCACCAGACTCTGTTGACGTGCCTTCAGTGAAGAGCAGCCATGACTTCTTCAGATGCTGAGATGGCCGCCTTTGGAGAGGCAGCTCCCTACCTCCGAAAGTCAGAGAAGGAAAGAATCGAGGCCCAGAACAAGCCTTTTGATGCCAAGTCATCTGTCTTTGTGGCCCATCCAAAGGAATCCTTTGTGAAAGGGACAATCCAAAGTAGGGAAACAGGGAAGGTCACTGTCAAGACTGAAGCTGGAGAGGTGAGAAAAAAGCAAGCTTCAGATTAGCATTTAATTTCCACTCTGAGCTTTTAGCTGACAGACAGATCTTTCATTTCCTTTACAGACTCTGACTGTGAAGGAAGATCAGGTCTTCTCCATGAACCCTCCCAAGTACGATAAAATTGAGGACATGGCCATGATGACCCACCTCCATGAACCCGCTGTGCTGTACAACCTCAAAGAGCGTTATGCAGCCTGGATGATCTACGTAAGTACCAGCAGCTCTCTTCCTTGGGTAGCGTAGCTGGGGAGGACTGCTGTGCCAGGCTGAGTGGAAGCCAGCGTGCCGTGTCCCTTCCTCACAGACCTACTCGGGCCTCTTCTGTGTCACTGTCAACCCCTACAAGTGGCTGCCGGTGTACAACCCGGAGGTGGTGTTGGCCTACCGAGGCAAAAAGCGCCAGGAGGCCCCTCCACACATCTTCTCCATCTCTGACAACGCCTATCAGTTCATGCTGACTGGTAAGTTGATCCCGAATTCATTCTACTAAAAAGGTGTTTTAAAAATAAGGAGAATTTTCCCGATGACATATTATCTGTGTTTAGTTCAGTTACAGCATTAATTAATGTCTCTTTAAACAGGCTTTTTGACATTTGTATTTCTACAAAGGAAGTACAGAATCACAGATATTTTGTTAGGAAAAATGATATGCTAACTGCTACCATAAATACTAATTGATGAGTGCTTAATCTCCTTCAAATTGCTATTGTAACGAGCTTTAAGTAGGTGGAAATGTAGGAGTCTTTTTTGGAAATACAACAAACGTGCAACAATCAAAATACAATGTTTGAGATTAATGGAAAATTAATGCACTCAACTGTAAGGATCCATATATGCTAAGTGTATTCCTATTACAATCAATAAAGACCTGGACCGTGTAATGAATGTAGTCTAGAAGGAGTAATTTCTTTGGCAAGAAGACACCTAGTGTCTGGTTTAGATTATACTGATCTATTGAGAATGAGCATAAAATGCAACGCTTTTAGAAAAATGATATAAAGGGAAAATAAAAAGCTTTTAATATTCAGTCTCACTGGCTTTCATCAATTTATTTCCTTTAGACTTTTTATTTTCCTTCTGCTTATTTTCTCTTCCCAATGAATGTAATTAAATCAGTGGTGTACAGAGTTTATATCTTCTTTTCCTGTTCTTTTGTTACATGATGGAAAGTAAATAAAAAATGGAATAAAGCCTGTCTATTTATGATCTCAGAAGTATATAATTTCGGTATATGTAGAATAAAAAATGAAATAAGTGAAAATTGAAAGATTGGTTAGACATTATTATTTGTGAGCTCTCCAGATTTTCTCAGCTATATTTTATCTCCAGGAGAATTTAAATGAGATCAATCCCCAATCTCAATAATTTTGTCATGTATACTTAGCAAATATTAGAGAAATCAGATGAAAAAAAGAATACCTTTAAAGGCATATCAAAAGCATATATCTTTAAAAAAAAAGTTACTCTGAAGTGATATCTTTACTGAATTTGTTGAGAATGTGTGTACTGGGACTACATAGCACTGCTACACATTAACTGGAATATCCAGGGATTTTCATTGCCTTCCATCCCTGCACCCCCTGCGGATTTCCGTTCGTATTTGTCTCCTAGATCTAATGTTTCTTGTTATTCATGAGCAGTAGGAAAAGCCTTCTTATCTCTATCTTTTCACAGACCGCGAGAATCAGTCGATCCTGATCACGTAAGTACACTCCCTGCTCGGGTCCCTGAGGGGCTGCCCTGTGCCAGGGGACCTTCTCCCTGACCTCACACTTCTCTCCTTCTGTTTGGCTGGACAGCGGAGAATCCGGTGCAGGAAAGACTGTGAACACGAAACGTGTCATCCAGTACTTTGCAACAATTGCAGCTAG